ATATATATATATATATATATATATATATATATATATATATATATATATATATATATATACACATATATATAATATATATAAATATATATATTTGTGTGTTTATATGTATGTATATATATATATATACATATGTTCATGTATATGAACATATATGTATATATATATATATATATATATATATATATATATATATATATATATCTTTGATTTTTTGTGCCCTAACATTTGGAGTATCAATGAAAAAAATTGAATATATTTATATGTATATATATATATATATATATATATATATATATATATATATATATATATATATTTATACATACATATATATATATATATATATATATATATATATATATATATATATATATATATATATATATATATATGTATATATATATATGTATATATATATATATATATATATATATATATATATATATATATATATATATATATATATATATATATATATATATATGTATGAGGCAGCCAAAAAGTTTTCAGTGGTCAATGATATTCTTTTTTTTTATAATGTCATTCATATATAGTAATGGGACTATTTTATTGTTAGATAAAATCCATTTAGATCTGTTTTTTTTAATTTTAGGGTCATTTAAGGGCTAGACAAAAAAAGTTGCTGAAATTTACCTGTAAATTTTCAAATATGTTAATTTGAGTTTGCATTACTTTCTTTTAATTTCTGTAGTTTACAAATTAATTGGTATTTACTTGGATAAATTTTAATTGGTATTTACTTGGACAAATTTTAAGTTTCATTTCTGAAATGAAAAAATAATTGTGCAGCAAAATCTTTTGACTGATTTTGAAGTGATGGGGAAAAGAAAAGACCTGAGCTCTGTAGAAAAAGGAGAAATCTGTGTTTTGTTGGAGAATAGTAACCTAAAACAAAAGGAGCTATGAAATTGAAGCTTTCAAAACAAACAGTTAGTGCAGTGAAAAGGAAGCTGATGAGGGTAGAAATGTTGAAGCTAGAAGAGATGGAAATTGCGGTTGTAAAAGAATTTTACAACCGCAATTTCCACAAACCCCAGACTTGAGAGAAAAATCAAAGTAATAGCCTCAAAGATATGAGAAGTTCTTTCAAGAAAATATCTATGGAGTTAGCACATCAGGGCGTTAATGTAAGTTGTAAAATAGTGAATAATCGCTTGTTGGAGCAGGAAGGCATACATACCAAAGAA